ACACAGGGCTCTGCACTCAGCTCTGAGTCTGCTTAAGATTCTCTCCCTCTGTCCTTCCCATTCATGCTCATGCTGTTTAAAATAAATAAAATCTTAAAAATAAATAAATACAGGCACTAAAAGCAGAAACAAAAGTGGTTACCTCTGTGGGGAAAGAGCATCCTTTTACTGATCATTTAATACCACTGTGATTTTTTTTGTAACCATGTGCAAGGTATTATTTAATAACCTCAAAATGCATATATACACATTTGTACTTTTTGCCCCAGGTACTTCTCAGAGAACTTGCCTCACTGTTGAAGTGTGGGCCTCAACAGTCAGGACTGTCCTACAAAACTCTGTGCCCTGGCCATAGCTGTTGGTGCATGAGTGGACTCCTGACTCCATGCTGGGCCAATCAGATTCTCTAGCCCTAGCATCGGGGATTAAGATAAAGATGCTACCTAGTGTGGAACTGAGAACAAGTGAATTTGGGAGTTGTGGAGTTGAGGTAATTAAATTCATGTACAGAGATGAATGTGGCCTAAGGAAGAAAAACTGATAAGAGTTGCTTAGATTCCAGCTATCTTTCCAGTTCCTGATTCTGCTCTTGGGATGCCAAGATGCCCTCCCTATCTCTGGGTTCTACAGCCTTATAACAAATGCCTTTTTTCAGTGGCCTACCAAGATCAGGATGATAGGAGAGATCTAAGGTGGGTACAAACAAAAGGTGATGAATTATCTAGAATCATGGTGACAATAAAAAAGCAGACTGACTTTTAGTCGATTTTATTATTGCTTTAAATTCTCTAAAATGATAGTGATCAAGGGGCACCTTGGTGCCGCAGTCAGTTGAGCATCTGACTCATTGTTTCGGCTCAGGTTGTGATTTCCCGTCCTGGAATCAAGCCCCTGCGCCAGGCTTTGTGCTCGGTGATGAGTCTGCTTGGGGACTCTGTCTCTCTCTGCCCCTCTCCCCCAGCTTACACTCTCTGTTTCTCTACCTCTCTCTCAAATAAATCTTTAAAAAATAAAATAAATAAAATACTAGTGATCAAATACTTCTCCCTATCTTCCTCCACAAACCACTGCTTTCTGCATGAGCTAGTCTGTTAGATACATAGTACCTTGAATGTAACCAGTAATAATCTTAACCCAACCAACAATCTAAAGAGAAAATAGTGAAAGAAATCAGAGTCGATATGCATTCCTGCTTTGTCCAAAATTAACAGAAGTCATTAATTCAAGTAAAGAAAATTTATTTTAAATATTAAAAGAGAAAAAAGTAAATAGAACTTTCTTAAAAAATTACGATTCCTGCCTTTGTTTAAAGGAAGTGATGTGATATGGATAACTAAATGAACAGTCACTGTAGGGACTAAGCCATTAGCACTATGCACATAACAGAGACCAACAAAGATAGGTTGAACCAAAGTATTTCTAAATCATAATTTAAACCTTTGGATCTCAATGTCCTGTACATAAGATCTTTTAGAAACTCTGAGGGAAACATTAAAGACATTTTATGAAAGCTTAAAGGAAAAAAATGTACATTATGAACAACTGTAATATAGCACATACAAAACCAAGATACAGATTGTATCACAAAAATGAATTATGATCCCTGTAGTTACGACTGGCCACTCACTGAATTTCAAAGTTTCCAATCTGAATGAAGAAGAAAGAATTAGGACTTGCATGGGAAGGTAACTCAAACCTGGTAGGATCTTGAATCCTCTGAGAATAGGAGGTCCACCAGGACTGTCCTAATCTGAGACTTGTGGTCACAGTACCATCCCAGTTCGCAACAATTCTGATTGATTCATCAGTCTTTTCACTGCCTCTATTCCGCACATATTCATTGAGCATTTTTAACGTACAAGGTGTATTCTAGGCAATGAGGATATACTGGTGAATAAGTCAGATACAGGCCCTCAACTTCCTGAGTAAAAAGCGTAGCAAAGGAATCCAGGAAACAAGTTCTTCAACAACTTACTTTACATATGTGAAAATTAATAAAAGGAAACCTCACTAAAGTGGACCTGGGGGGCGCTTGGGTGGCTCAGGTGGTTAAGCATCTGCTTTTGGCTCAGGTCATAATCCTGGGGTCCTGGGATGGAATCCATGGTTGGATTCCCTGCTCAGCAGGGAGTTTGCTTCTCCCTCCGCCCCTCCCACTGCTCATAAGAGCGCTCTCTCTCTCTCTCTCTCTCAAATAAGTAAGTAAAATCTTCAAAAAAAAAAAAAAATTAAGAAGGGACACCTGAGTGGCTCTGTCATTAAGCATCTGCCTTCGGCTCAGATCATGATCCCAGGGTCCTGGGATTGAGTCCCGCATCAGGCTCCTTCCTAAACGGGGAGTCTGCCTCTCCCTCTGTTTGTGCTCACACACACCCCTCTGGAAAATAAATCTTTTAAAAAAATTAATTAAGAAAAATAAGTAAAGGAGCTAGAAGAGGCTGAAAAGGGGAGCTGTACCACCCAATGTCAATTATAAGAACTGTCATTTACAGACCCCTAACAAGAAGACTCTGCAACAGGAAAGAATCAATTACAGGCACCAACAGGGAGAGTTGTACATCGCATCTCCTACAGGAAGTCTACCATCCTTACAACCCAACCACTGAGAAACCAGCATCACCTTCAACTCCTGCTTCTCTCCAATGGGCTTTCCTTCAAAATAATCCATCCCAACGTCCTCCTCTGTAAAATAAAGTTCCTCTCCTTTGTTTGTGGGACTTGTCTACAGTTTGCACAGCCTGCATGTCCCAAACTGCAGTTTCTCTGTTATTTCCTAATAAACCCATTTTTACTGTTAAAGTAACTGGCAGTTTTATTTTTTAGATTAACACATGTTACTTTCCAGGACACATAGGATCCTGTAGTAATCGAAGCAGGGAGTACCTAACTTATGTTCCCAAAAGAAAAGAGGTAGCCAGGAATGTACAAGTGGAACGAGGTGGGGATGAGGCAAAGGAAACAGCTGATGCAGAGGACCTAGAGGAAAGATTCAAAACAAAGAACTGAAAGAAGGTTCAACAGGAGAGGGAATGCCGTGATGAGGTCTGAGAGGAGGAGGAGATGAGGGGAGGAGCCAAGAAAGGTCTCATAAACCACTAGAGACATTTCTCTATCTGGGTGAAAATCAATTTAAAACAATTTACTACAAAACAGAAGTGAGTCTACAAGTTTAACACCTTGTGACTTACTTTTCACAGAAACATACCTGTAATGCTGTTATCATAAAAGCTTTCAATATATTCACGGTGATTAAAAAAAAATACAGTGAAGATGTATACTTCAGAAGAGCTTCTCCCCAAAAATTATGACTATAAAGCACATTATTTTCTTCTCTATAACACACAATCTATATGGGAAAAGAAGGCATCCTGTGGGGAAACATATCAACAAGGTCCAGGTGCCCACGACAATTTACAAAATTTACAAAATACCATAAAGCCAGTATTTCATACCCAAACATACCCTTTCTGCACTATAATGAAACGTGCCCCTTAGGATCACACACTTAGTATGCAAAATCTGACAAATACTTTCAAAACTACATCAAATATAAAATTATCCCATGTATCCGTCAAGACTACAGTATGGGCTATTTCTCATAAACGTTCTAAATATCTGTAACTGGAACTTTGCCCTTAAGCACCAAAACTTTTTACTTTTGATGGAATTTCCCTAAAAATTACCAATGCATCTACACCCACCAACTGTGCAGTTTAATCTTCACTCCACATTTTGGGGCCATTGTTTTGGACATTAATTATGGGCTCCAGTATTCACTGTGAACGAGAATTTAGTGGAGGTATAGGTGCCCCTTCCTCAAAGCACCCTATGGTTACAGTGATTTTTTTTTTTAACCTTTTAAAAATATATATACACATAGTTGTAGATTTCGTCTTTACCACTTGTCAGTGTTCACGGGCTACAATCCGGACGCCTATCCAGGCCTCCTTCTAATTTGCTGCTTGTAAGTTTCGGCCTAGGAAACCAGAAAACTAAACTAGCTCAAATTTTATGGAAAATGAATAAAGAGTTGCTGAGTCCCTCCTACCAGAAATACATGGATTTTACGCCACTGATCTGGCTGCTGGAGACTATCTAGCGTCTCCCTAGCCCTTCTCACCCATACCCCACGGTGTTTCCCAGGAGCGGAGGCCACTCCTACAACGCCAAGTTATCTCCAGGTGCTACAACCTAAGGGATTCCTGGTTTGCCTCCACCACTCCTAAGTGCAAAATGAGGAGGGAGGGGGCCAAAATGACCAGTTCACCGCACGCAAACCTAAAATTCCCCCCGTGGACGCTTCACGGGAAAGTAGCATTTACAAAAAAACTGCAACTAAAATGTACTAAGCTTGTCTGCAGCATTCTCGGCTCTTTCTGCGCAGGAGCTCGTCTGAGCAGTCCCACGTTTCTCGCTGGCTCTGGCACGAGAGCAGACGTCTACCTGGCAGGTGGAAAAGTCATCCCAAGAGCAAAATTAAGCCCTTACACCCAATCTCATCTCGGAAAGAGAGGATGTGTGCAATACAGTAGTTAGAGCCAACTTCGGCGGCGAGCGAGCACTCCCCCCAACACCGGAAGTTTTGAAATATCCTGCAGGCTCCCCGTAGGCAAAGTGCTTTTCCTCGCCCGGTCTCAGCGGGTCCCCAAGGTTCAAGGACCCCTCCGCGAACTGCCGCACGCGGGGCGCGGGTCCCCGGTGCGCCACGGAGAGGAGCGAGGCCGACAATCACGGCCGACTGCCGGCTCCTCGCCGCGTAACCTTGGCCGCTAGCGAATCGCGAATCGGGCAGGTGGGAGGCACCTGCGGCCGAGCCGGGAAGCCGCGGCCCGGGCCCCCGCACCGGCGCCGGCACCGGGGTGCCTCAGCGTCGCCCGCGCAGGCCCGGCCGGCCGCGAGAGCCTTCGGGGGAGCCCCGCGTGGGGCCGCGCGGCGGGGCCGGGCCCCGAGCTCGGGAAACTCGGCGGCCCGCCCGGCCCATCCCCGGCGCCGCCACTCACCGAAGAAGCCTTGCACGATCCCGAGCGGGTGGCTGAGCCAATCCTCCCCACAGGGCATCTCGCCGACGGGCCGGGGCCGCCGCGGCCCGGCGTCCCGCGCCGCGGCTCCTCCTCGGGGGCTCGGTCGCTCGTAGCCCGCGCCCTCCCACGCACGGCGAGCTTCGGGGCGCGGGCCGCCCGGCCTCCCGGCGCCTCAGGGAACCGCGGCTGTGGCGGCGACAGCCGAGAAGCAGCTGGCCACGGGCAGGCGGCGCGTGCGGGCCCCCAGCCTCCACTTCGCACAATGGCGGGAAATAGGCGCCGCCGACCGCGCTGCCTGCGACCTGGGTGGAGCTCGCGCGGGGAGGGGCGGCGGGAACGCGCGGCGCGGCCCCGCGGGCGGGAGGAGGGGCGGGTCGGCATGCGCGGGGGCGGGGCGGGACGGGGCGGGGCCGCGACGCGGCGGCAGAGCCGCCGCCATCTTGGAGATGGGCAAAAGGAAGGGCAAGCGGGGCTTTGGCGAGACTGGCATTGGGGCAGAGGTTGACGTGTCGCAGTTTATCACGCTGAGCGAGTGTGAAGGGGGAAACTGCCGATGTCCAGTTTATTAATTCATGATAGGAGGCCTTGCCCAGGTAGGAGGCCGCAGCAACCTGAAAGTACAAACCCAAGGAGAACCTGGGGTCCTCTCTGGGCAGAATTAGGGGATGAAACAGCCCTTGGGGTGCACCCACCTCCTCTTGGTGCTGATGTGATTTTGGTTTTGGTTTTGCTCCTTTCTCTGTAGCCCTGCCTGAAACCCATGCAGTGATTTTCCTTCAGCTACATAACGTCTTATCCCTCTGAGGGAGGTATGCATTTCGGTAAGGGGCACTTTGAAAAACCCCAAACGCCCTTTGCTTGTCATCTCCAGCGCTATGTTAGAGGGACCAGTTCCTAAATGAGAGGCAAGCTCATAACTGAAAACCTACCTGGTCTGCCTCTGCCTAGAAGCTGGAAACAGCCAGGGAGCTTTGACAGGTTCATGCAGAAGGTGTACAGGTACACAGCTGCAAAGCGAAAATCGTAGTAAGGCGAGTCAAACGAATTTTTTGGTGTTCCAGTACACACAAAGATTATGTGTATGCTATACTATAGTCTATTAAGTGTGCAATAGCATTATGTCTAAAAGAAGGTGCATAATTTAAAATATTGCTTAAGGGCGCCCGGGTGGCTCAGTCCTTTAGCGGCTGCCTTCAGCTCCAGTCATGATCCCGGGGTCCTGGGATCGAGCCCCACATTGGGCTCCCTGCGTGGCGGAAAGCCTGCTTCTCCCTCTCCCACTTACCCTGCTTGTGTTTCCTCTCTCACCGTGTCTGTGTCAAATAAATTTAAAAATCTTTTAAAAAAAATATATATTGCTTTAAAGATACTGTCCTCAGGGGGCTTCTGGGTGGCTCAATCGGTTAACCAGCCCAGGTCCTGATCTCGGGGTCACTAGATGGAGTCCCACATCCAGCGCTCATGGGGAGTCTGCTTAAGATTCCCTCTCCCTCTGTTCCTCCCTTTCCCAAATAAATAAATAAATCTTCAAAAAAAAAAAAAGTGCTGTCATCTGAACTTTCAACAAGTCATAATAACCCATCAGTGATCATCATAACAAACACATTAATAAGGAAAATGTTTGAAATGCCATGAGAATTACGAAACTTGTCACAGAGATACACAGTGAGCAAATGCTTTTGGAAAAATAACATCAATGGACTTGCTCAGAATAGTGTTGCCACAAACTTGAAATTTGTAAAAAGAAAAAAACCACACAAACAAAAAAAACCCCAAAAAACCAACAAACAAAAAAACCCACAGTATCTGTGAAGTGCAATAAAGCATAATAAAACAATGCATGCCTGTATGGAGATATCCTCAGAGTGGAGATGGAGGCATCAGTACACACAAAGATCAAATCTAGCGGTAACCTTTTAGTGAGGAAATTTGGAAAATATCCAAGTTTGGCGATGAAATAGCATGTTTCTCCTAGGCCTGGAATGTACCTGAGAAAACTGCAGTATCAACAGCCAGAAATAGAGCTCGTTAACAGAAGAATGATCTGAATGGAGTCGGCAAAGTGGGGAGCCCACGAACAAGAACTGAATTCAAATCTCAAGTCCCACTTGGGGCAAAGAGGGTGGTCATTTGTACATCTCATTATGAACTAATTGGTCGGCATACTGGATTATACATCTGGCTCTTGTGAGTCTGGGTGAGTTGAGAACACTGATGTGAACATCCAAAGGCACTACCACCACTTGGTTCATTTATTCATTTGTTTCGCCGAGAGGGTTGCCAAGTCCCTCGTAGCAAATGGAGAAATCCCATATTTTAGCTTTGTGACCAGTAACATGCAAATTAAATGTATACAGCCACAAAAACATCTGCGTTTAAGTCATGATAATCTAAGATTTGTTTCATAGGAAATTGCAGATGGATACCAAGTCAGCAGTGGCTAGGGACACTGCAGTTTTAGGTTTCTCCCTCTGTATGTAGTTACTTATAAACAGACAGTTGCTCAGATTTACTTAAAGAGACACTGTGATGTTTTTGAAATGTCATTATTTTATAATGTGAATGACTGCAACATCTAATTCCTTGGTGGGAAGATTTGATACTACTAATAAGTAGTTGTGAAAACATAAGTGGCCAGGGCAGGGTCCAAAAGAGTACATCTCCAGGGCACGATTTTTTCCCCACCACCAGTAACAGCACTTCTGCCCCCATTCTCCAAGCCTGTATTTTCAAGGAAGGCATTAAGTAATTCCTTTACCTTTGTGGGGTAAAGAAAAAGGATGCTCAAGGGCTTTCCTGAAATGTGACATTTACACTAGGACTTGAAAGATAAATAAGAGTTAACTAGGCAAAAAGTGGGGCGGAAGAGTGTTCCAAGCCTAGGAAAACAAAACTTGCAAAGAAAAATTAATGACAATGACATTGTATTGTCGTTGTAATGACAATGCATTATATGACTTGGCTACTAATAGTCTTTATATAATCATAATACTGTTAAAATTTGAATGTCGATCTAACCAGCATTATAATTTAACTTTAGTGAGAGGCAAAAGGGGAAAGGGCTCATATGTGATGAGGACAAAGATCAAAAGGGGCAAAATCTTCATTGTTTATCTGGGACATCAGTGCATAATGCAAACGGGAAAAATTTCAGAAGTGGCAATGTAACCACATTAATTTAAAAACAGAAATACTAAAAGAATCAGCTGAAAGAGTTGAATGTAGTTTCCTTCAGGGTGGGGTAAATTTCCTTTTAAGACATTTGCTAGTTTTCTGCATACTTGTTATTAATTCAACCCCAACTGCCCTAGAATTTCCACTCGATTGTAAGATCTGTGAAGCAATGATTTTGGTATTTATGTGTTATTTTATTCCCTAGCACCTAGAAGAGTGCCTGGCATAGCATAGGTGCTCAATAAATGGTTGCCTAATGGGTAACGCACATTTTCCATCAGTTGCCTCAATTTCCTCTCTAGGTGTTTAGACATATCTTCTTGGATATCTTTCCCAGAGACTTTGACTTGTTCCAATCTGGACTTCTTGCCCTCTACCTCTGGTATAAAACTGTCTTCCTAGGGTCTCCTATCACCATTATCCTAAGGATTCTTCCTTTCGTGTTTTCATTGAGACTTTGAAAAAAATCTGTTCACTTCTTCTTCCATACCTCCGGAGAGATTGCCTAGGGAAGAACTCTGCAATGCTTAGTTTCAGAGGTATAGCTGAGGCTGGTTGCCCAACTAGGGAAGTATAGCTGAGGCTGGTTGCCCAACTAGGGAGGTATAGCTGAGGCTGGTTGCCCAACTAGGGAGGTATAGCTGAGGCTGGTTGCCCAACTAGGGACTACATTTCCCAGCCTCCTTTGCAGCTGGGAGGGGTTGTGTGATTAGGTTCTCACCAATGTACTGGGATCTAATGAGGTGTATGAACTTTTATTTCAGTGTCTTAGCAGAAAACTTTTGGCCTGGATACGTTCTTTCCTCCTTCATGATGGATGGAATGGTGATGACTAGAATGACCCTGTGTCAAAGACAGCCTGGATTTTCATGGGAACGTTGCATTCTGTGGCCTCTTTGTTACAGCTGCTAACATTACTCTAAAGAATTCAGAGAGCTGGTATAAGTGGGGTGTTATAACGAACAGAAAGTGTGGCTCTCATTTAGTGGTTGGAGAGCAGGTCGCAATAAGGGAAAGAGGGATTGGCCCAGAACATGAAGGAGACTGATTTCATTCAGGCTGTTGTAACAGGGAGAACTTTCATCCAGAAACATCTGGAAGACGAGGGTTAAATGCTGAGGTTTTGTAAAGCAAGGGAGTTGTTGAGGAAGGGGAGATGTGAGTTTATGTTGGAATATGCAAAAGCAAGTTGGTCTTTTTCATTTATCCTTTTCTTGGAACACAAAGGGAGAAGGGATATCTTAACTATCCTTGTTTTCTGAAGAGTAAGTGGGGGCAACTAATAGGAAATCGGGACTCGTTGACCAAGTCCTGACTTTTCTAGGCCAATTGCTGCAGATGTTGGGGGTCAAAGTTCTATATAAATATAGTTAAATATGGTATGGCCACTGTTTGTATAGTCAGTCTCAGAAATAACGTGGAAGCCACATATATAAATTAAGTTTTAGTAGTGACATTAAGAGGTATTAAGAGGTACAAACTTCTGATTATAAAATAAAGAAGTCACGGGAATGAAAAGAATAGCATAGGGAATATAGTCAATAATATTGTACTGACTTCACATGGTGGCAGGTAGAAATTACACTTACAGTGGGGAGCATTTCATAATGTTTAGAACTGTGAAATCATTATGTTTTATGACTGAAACTAACATAATATTATATGTCAACTATACTTCAATTAAAAATTGAAAACAAACAAAAAACCATAGTGAGATACTATTACACACCCATTAGAATGGCCAAAATTTAAAATACTGGCAACACCAAGTATAGATATTACTGGTTGGAAAATAAGATGATATAGTCACTTTAGAAAATAAAGTGGTGGGGCACCTGGGTGGCTCAATCAGTTAAGCGGCCGACTCCTGATTTTGGCTCAGGTCATGATTTCAGGGTCCTGGGATTCAGTGCTGTGTTGGGCTCTGCACTCATCAGGGAGTCTGCTTGAGGATTCTCTCTCCCTCTCCTTCTGCCCCTCCCCCCCTACATGCACATTCTCTAAATAAATAAACAAATCTTAAAAAAAAAAAAGAGGGCCACCTGGATGGTGCAGTCAATTAAGCATCTAACTATTAGTCTTGGCTGAGGTCATGATCTCAAGGTCATGGGATTGAGCCCAT